GACAGCACGGAGCTGCCAGGCACAGGGAGAGCGCGGAGAGCTCCGGAGCATGTGGAGAGTGCGGAGCTCCCAGGCACGTGGAGAGCTCCAAGAGCTCCTAAGCACAGGGAGAGTGCGGAGAGCTCCTGAGCACTCAGAGGGCTCCAAGAGCTCCTGAGCACATGGACAGCACGGAGCTGCCAGGCACAGGGAGAGCGCGGAGAGCTCCCGAGCATGTGGAGAGTGCGGAGCTCCCAGGCACACGGAGAGCTCCAAGAGCTCCTGAGCGCACGGAGAGCGCGGAGAGCTCCCAGGCACATGGAGAGCTCCAAGAGCTCCTGAGCACAGGGAGAGCACAGAGAGCTCCTGAGCACGCAGAGAGCTCCAAGAGCTCCTGAGCACACGGACAGAATGGAGCTCCCGTGCACGGGGCAGCGCGGGGAGCTCCGGAGCGCGGGAGCCGCTTGCCTGGGACGTGGTCCAGGATGTTGCTGTAGGAGGGGATGCGCTTCCAGGGCCCCGTGTCCGTCATGGCCACGAAGCGGCGGTACAGGGCGAGCATGTCCGCGCTCCAGCTGCTGTTGGGCAGCGCGTAGTCCCGGGGGCTGCCGGCCTGCGTGCACAGCGCCTGCGGGAGCGCGCGGAGCGCCGGGAATGCGGGGACCGCCGTGAGCACGCGGAGTGCCGGGAGCGTGGGGAATGCAGGGAGCGCATGGAGCGTGCGGAGCACAGGGAGCGTGTGGAGTGCGTGGAGTGCCGTGAGCGCCGTGAGCACGCGGAGTGCCGGGAGTGTGCGGAGCGCAGGGAGCACAGGGAGCGTGTGGAGTGCAGGGAGCACCAGGAGCGCCGGGAACGCGTGGAGGGATGGGAGAGCAGGGAGCACAGGGAACGGAGGGAGCGCCGGGAGCACGTGGACGCACGGTGGCGGAGGGGAGCGCACGGTGCCTCTGAGCGCGGAAACGCGCAGGGAGCGGGTGGCACACGGAGGGGCAGGACGCACGCAGGGAGCACACGGGAAGGACACGGGAAAGGCACGGGATGCACACAGGAAGCGCAGCAGAAGCACATGGGAAGCAGACAGGTAGAGCATGGGATGCACATGGAAGCGCACGGGATGCACACGGGAAGCGCACGGGATGCACACGGGAAGCGCACGGGAAGCGCACGGGCAGCGCACGGGAAGCCCACGGGAAGCGCACGGGAAGCACACGGGATGCACACGGGAAGTACACGGGATGCACACAGGAAGCGCACGGGAAGCGCACGGGAAGCACACGGGATGCGCACGGGAAGCGCACGGGAAGCGCACGGGATGCACACGGGATGAACACGGGATGCACACAGGAAGCGCACGGGAACGCACCGGCCGCCCAACTTAAGG